TAACTTTAATGAACTTTCGCCTAAGTCTTGGTTCGCATATGAGGACAATGTGGGGGGAATCATAAGAGAATCGTTAGAGTTATCAAATGAGAAGTACAACTCCAAATTATCTTATTTGAGTAAGACTGATTTACAAACTTCTAATTTTATTATAGCAAAATTTTCGTGTTGATTTAAATTGTCATTTAATGAAATTTTTTTATTTTCTCTCACGAAAGTTTTTCATGTAGAAAATCTCCTTGAGGACAAGGGACATATAAGATCTCCACCATGCCCCCGAAATTCAAGCCCAAGAGACAAGACTCGATTGAATGATACAACACCCCTGAAAGTCGAGTCCAAGAAGAAAACTCAATGGAAAGCTAACATGCACTTGAAAGTCGAGCTCAAGAGGGAAAACTCGATGAGATGATACGGTGCCATAGAAGTTAAGCCTAAGAGGCAAAACTCAATGAGAATCTACCATGCCCCTGAAAGTCGAGCCCAAGAGGCAAAGCTAGATGGAATGAAACGACATTCCTGAAAGTTGAGCCCAATAGAAAAAAAACTTGATGTGAATCAATCACGCCTCTAAAAGTCGAGCCTAAGAGGCAAGACTCGATGGGAAGATATGATACCCCTGTAAGTCAAGCCCAGGGGGCAAAACTCGATGGGAAGTATCATGTTTTTGGAAAACAACCCCAATAGGCAAGTCTCAATGGGAAGCTAGTAGTGGAAACAATCCTCACTTGAAAGATTCTAAGAGAGCACATGGTTGACAAGGTCTTTACTCGAAGACCCCATCAGACTACAAGCCTCAGAAGGCACAGGTACATCAAAAATCTCAAAAGTTTACAAGCCTTTGAAGGCACAAATACATCGAAGACCTCAGAAGACTACGAGTCTTTGAAGTCACCAGTGCATTCCAAGCTCCTAGGAGATATAAGCTTGAGAAGGCACAAGCCTTAAAAGATACACGCCTAAAATGATACAAATATCAAAATGCACAAGTTTAAAAAGATACACGATTTTTTTTATATATAAAGTGCATATGTTAGCTTTAATTGTAGGATTTTGCATGATTGAGAAGACGCAATAACCTTAGAAACAACATCAAAGATGTATAAAGAAATATATTACCATATGCGAATTTCACGTTAAAAAATTGAATGGCTACAAAGACTAACATATACTCGTATAAGTGCTAGAACAAATCAACTCATCTTAGAATAAAGTCAGCACTATCTCCCCAAAATTCCAGTACTTTAGCTGATCTTCAGGGAGTCTCTGGATATCAGGACCAAAGAAGCATGAAAATCCCCCCCAAAGCGCTATTGGAATACTCCATCACTTCTTTATCTTCATCAGAATCTTCAACAACAACAATCAAGTAAATCCTGAGTCACACGTTGGGCAGAGAAGATGATAACTTTATTCCTCTTAGAAACGCAAAAGAAGAGCCCTTTGCTCGCTTGCTACATTGGATGAAGATGACTTTCTCCTACAGCATAATGCAAAAGAAGATCTTGTCGCTCTCCTGCTACGTAGGATATGAACTACTTTTGTTGCAGCATAATGCAAAAAAGAATCACATTGCTCACTTACTACGCAAGACAGAGACAAATTGTCTTTTGCAGTGTAATGCGAAAGAAGATCTTATTGCTCGTCTGCTATGTAGGATAGTGATGACTTCTTCTACAGTGCAACACGAAAGAAGATTCTATTGATGTCCTATTACGCAGGACAAGAATGACTTTCTCTTGTAGTGCAACGTGAAAGAATATCCCGTTGCTCACCTTCTATGCATGATGGAGATGACTTTCTCCTACCCCACAATACGAAAGATTAACCCTTTGGTTGCCAGCTATGCAAACGTAGATGAATTTCTTCTGTGTCGCAACATGAAAGAGGATTTCATTTATCATTTGTTATGCAGGCAAGGACGACTTCTTTTTGTACAACATCAAGAAAGAAGATTTCGTTAATCGTCTGTTACGTATATCGGGGTCGACTTTCTTCTTATGGGAAAACTGGATCACTTGTTGGTTATGGATGTAGACACCACCTTCATCATATTCTTCATGTCTATTTATAGGCTCAGGAAACTGTTCGTATTTATGATAAAAATTAATATGTTCATCAACTTTCTTATCCTTTCGGCTTTCGACCGTTGGTCTTCCGCTGTCCGACCTTTGACCTGTAAAGACCTATCTTGCATGTAATGCATAAGTTATATGTAAAAGCTTCGAATTCAAATGGCATATGAATGTTTCAAATTCCCATGCTTTCATGTTCTTAGAGTTCCCATGGTCAAGTTCCCCCCATTTTCGTAACAAAGAATTTACCAATCGAGCTGGGATCAATTTTTTTTTTTATATGAATATGTGCTTATTTTATTCTTGTACCATATATAAAGAGTAATATAAATATAAATATCTGATAGAGATAAAAATATGAACCAACTTTATTTTCAAGTACAAATATATTATCTTCTTACATAAGTATAAAAATCATGATATGATACATCACATATATTATATTATAAACATATAATTTTTAAATATGCTTGTATATAATTGTATAAATATCATGAAAAAATACAAAATACTCCTATTTTTGATATTTTGGATCAATAAAAGTGATATCCTCCGAAAGATGGGACAACTGATACACTATCAACAAATTCTTTTATAAAACATGAGTCACGAGACATGACACAAATTTTGAGATGATATTTTGAATAAAAAACGTTTAGGCTTTGATAAAAAAAAAATAATTAGAACTCCGATTTCAACAATCTTATAGTCAAATCGTCTGACTCGACCAAACACACCCAATGATACCAAAATCGGTTAAACCCAAGTTAAATCAAGCCTTTATCAAGACATCAGACCATATTTGAAAATTTTTTGGAAACATTTGGGAGGTCAAAAGGATGTCGAATCAGGTGAGTTCATAGTCGAATTGAGCTTCTTGATAAGACAAATCCAATGAGCCCAAGATCACTCCATTTTAACTTCGTTAAGACACTTAAATATTCATCAAATGTCGTTTGGTCGAAAGAAGTCATTTAAGTCGTTTGATCAAAACGGTTTATATTCCTACATTAATTGCTTGAAAAATCCTATAAATAAAGCGTCATCTTTCTCATGTGGGGGAATGAGAGGTTGAAGTCTGAAGAAGAGCTTAAAACTTTGAGGAGTTAAAGTCCAGCATCACCTCGTCACCAACCGCCGCCAACCGCTAGCTGTCACCGACCATCTGTCGTCGATCATCATTGGTCCCTGCCCACTTCTTATAACAAGTTCATCCACACGCCAATGTTATAACTCGAGAGACTTTGTATCCATTTTCCCCCTGTGAGACAAAGGGTCTCTGTAATCGTTAAATTATATATGATTTTTTACAACTGTGTTAGACTGCGTGAATTTTTCCCTTTCTGGATTTCCACGTGAAAAAAATTTTGGTGTCTCTGCTGGTTATTTTCTTCAATCTGAATATGCGATGAAACTTCGTGCAACACTAAGACGATAATCTATTACTCAACCGTTGCGAATCTTTTAGCATGCATCAAATCTTTTTGTTGAACTCTCTTTTGATTTTTAATCTATCTCAAGTGCTCTCTCGCTGAATAAAATATGTAACGAAATTGATCCTGAAGAGGTCTAATAGTTCATAAGCAAATAGTAAAATAAAAGTGAGTCCACTAATAGAAAGTCATGAGGCCTACTTATACCCGAACCACAAGACAAACTAAAGGTGACCAGAGTAATAGTAGGGTCGTATCAATCGATCGATCCATGTTGACCAACCTTAGTCGATCAAGCTGATCAATACCAACTAAGTTCCAATGATCGAGTCAAACCAACTGACCAAGCTCAAACGACTAGGTCAATCTAAACCGACCAAGCCAATCCATTTAACCAAGTTTAGCTAAATGAACTAAGTAGCCCAAGGAGAAGAAACCCATAACAAAAACACCTTCAACATAGACTGTGTTATAAAGTCCGTAGCCCATCAGATCTAGGAGTTGAAGGATTAAATGTTAAATGTCATCTAAGATGTGATGGCCCTACATCCATCCCTTTCTTTCCAACTTACCAAATATTCAAGCTAAACAAAAGAAACCAAAGGCCATCTCATGCATCACATCGATCCCTTCTTTCACCTTTCCTCTAAAAACAAGTTCTTTATTATCTTATATGTACTCACAAACAATACGAGATTACATCTTAAAATAATTCAACAAAAAAGTGAAAATATAGGGAGATAGTTTCAAAACCTTATATATTATATCGTTATCTTCATGACTATATATATATATTGAGTTATTAGGGCTGCTTAGCATTACAAAGTTGAAAATCACCTATGGTGCCATATTTCAGTAGCTTCCAACAACTCGACAATCAAATAAGTGCATTGATGCACATTGATCGCAAATATTAAATATCATTAAAAAATAGAATTCGTTTTCAATGAATTTAAAATGCGTGTCAAATATGAATTACTTAGCACACAATTATTATATACTGATTAAAAATAATCTGCTGATAAGCTAGGTACGAAGGCTATTACAAATTTTTATTTTTTTAGGAAAAAACAGACCGTAGTCAGATAGCTGTCACCACACCTAAATATGTGCAGTGTGAAAACATTGTTTTCAGCATTTTAAAAATGCATAAGCTGCCAAAAAGCTGCCAAAACTCACTTTACTCAAACAGACCTGGTGTGTTTTCAAAACGCGATCACACCAAATAAGCTGCCAAAACGGGGCCTTATTATCAACTAAATTAAATACTAACTGAATTTAATAATATTTAAATTTAATAAATCTAAATTTATAAAGTTTTATTAATTATTAAATGCACCCAAACACCTCCATTAAATATCTAAAAATAAAATATATTATCCATGCATGAGTTTTATGAAAATGATATAAATTAATTAATCATAATAAATTTAAACAATCACTAAAATTCCATATGACACGCGTCATAATTTAGCACGACAAGTAACATGTTTCAATGTTCTCAACTATCCACTGGATGAACTTACTTCCTCTTCTCAGTTCTTCCCCCCTCACAGCCGAGCCGCCGACGTTTGAGTCCATGCTCGAATCCGTTTCTTCCTCCCTCTCCTCCTTCCAAAACCACTGATCCGTCCAACCAAACCATAACTGGCTCAACATCGCCGGAGACTCGGAGCCTTAATCTTCATCTCCTCCCAACAAAACCCTAGAATATGCACCCTATTTCTATGGCCGTTACCATTCTCCTTCCCTTCCTGCTTCTCCTCCCCCTGACGACAGAGACACTCGTTGAAACTCTTATCGATCCCCTAGATCGCCAAGAGGATCAGCTACGTCGTCTTGAAGCTTTGATCGAATCGCTTTCTAAAAGCGTCTCCCTGCTTGAATCCTCCGTCTCCTCGTTATCTTCATCACCGCAATCTATTCATCCTAATTCGCCGCACTTTCAGTCACAAGCTGGAGCAGTGGGAGCGGTGGGCAAGCCCAAATCGGCTTGGTTGGAGCGGTTTCAGTTCATGGCGGCGGCTCGGCTTGGATCGGAAGCGGCGTGCGCCGAACGCGGCGTGCCCCGCCGTTCTTCCTTACCAGGACCTTGAAGGTCTAAGCAAGTACATCGCCGTCGGCGATAACCGTGGTGGCGTCCATGTCTTGACGTCCGCCGGCGACGTCCTGATCGAACTCCCCACTCACTCCGACTCTCTTGTCACGTCCATTCTATCTTACCTATCCTTCCGCCGCAACGAGAGTATCCTCTTGACCGGTCATGCGGACGGCTCCATTGCAGCCCACCGCCTCTCAGAAACGGTGTCGAACGGTGATGATTGGGTCACCCTATCACTTGCCAGCTCCCGGTCTTTCGCCCTCGGGTCACGGGACCTAGATTCGCCGCCGGTGGTCGCCCTTGAGGTCCACCAGGTCGGAAGAATCCGCTACGTGCTCGCTGCTGATGGTGGTGGTAGGATCAGAGTGTTCACGGAGAGTGGAACCCTGTACGGCACCGCCATTGCTTCGAGCCGCCCACTTGCTTTCATGCGGCAGAAGCTTCTCTTCTTGACAGAGAATGGCGCCGGGTCGCTTGACCTCCGGTCAATGTCCGTGAAGGAGATCGAGTGTGATGGATTGAATGGATCTCTTGCAAAAAGCTATACTTTTGATGGGTCTGAGAGGTCGAAGGCGTACGGGTTCACCTCCACTGGCGACTTAATTCATGTGGTGCTTCTCGGGGATGCCACCAATCTGAAGTGCAGGGTTCGAGCTATTAGGAAAGCTGAAATCGATGGCCCGGTATCAATTCAGACAATCAGAGGATACCTACTTGCTGTTAATAATGAGAGGGTGCTTGTTTACAACGTCTCTTCTCAGTATTATGGTAGGGTTGGAGCACCTCGCCCACTTTTCTCGGCTACTCTTCAGGAAATCAGGTCGCTGTTCTCAAATTCTGATATCCCATCTGATGGATTTCGCATCGAGAATCCTTTGATTGCCACTGATCGTGACAAGTTGGTGATTTTGGGGCTTCAGGAAGGATATATTGGGATATACCGCTCAAATTTTCCAGTTTTTAAGGCTGAGAGCAATGCGGTGGTGTGGAGTGCTCCTGTATTCCTTTTCATTTTGTTTCTAATTGGATCATGGCAGTTCTATGTGAAGAAGAAGGATTCTTTGGGTTGGGCTGTGGAGGAAACATTTGACAATGCATCTGGCACAGCTAAAGAGAACATTTTGGGTCCAGGGTCGAGTGATAGAGCTTTTGGTGATGGCCAGAGACCCACGGACTTGAGGGATCTCAGAGTTGGTGGGCGAAGAGGTCCAGCTCGAAGGTATGTATCGCCTCAGCCTTACACTGGAACTACTGGGGTTTCCTTTAGGCCTACTTCTGCAGATCCTGGATTTAGAGGGCCTACAGATTTGAATTATCGGGGGCCAAATACTGAACCACCTGGTTTTCCCAAAAGGAGAGAACCTTTGTTTCAAAACACCCAAGTTGTGGATGAACACATCGAATGAGGTTCTGCTAGCTCTAGGGCTGCTTGTTCTACTTTTCGGCAGCAAAACTGCATCAAATTCATGAAATTCTGATGCTTTTCAATATGCTTCAAGTTCTTTGAGAATTTCAGGTTTATACACGGATATGGCAGCATGTAAGTTTGTAGTATGTTTCAAGTGAACATTATTAATGAAATACTCTGGTAAGATATCTTTTTGATTAATTTTTTTTTGTCATTTATGCTGGAATTCTTCGATCGAAAAGTATTTTTTTGGTTGGAATTTCGGCTGCTTTATTTTTTATTATGAGATTTGCTGTTTTGGGAGATTTGTAGTAGTATGAGTTCTGGCCTCCTTGCGTGCTATGGAAGAAAACCCTCCGAAAAGTTTTGTTTTTTTATGAAGAAAATTAGATAATGGATAAAGTAATGCATAGAGAGTTCGCTCTCGTCTGAGGATTTTATATTCTTGGCTCAAGGTTTCTCGTTTGTGTATGCCCCATAGTTTAGTACCCTCTGGATTATGAGATAATTTTTTATTAAAACTAGTTTGCATGCTCTATCGGTCCCATATGGTATGACATGTTACAAAGGTTAAGCTATTTAATGAGAAAGATTGAAATTTGCAGTCTGAGTGGAGATGTTGGGGGGGATGATGACAGACCTATTTGGGCATTCACATACATAGCACATAATTCTTATGCATTTATATATCTCACATCCAAACTTTCACGTTTATGCACATAAGTAAAGTCGGCCGCCTTGACAAGAGGTCTGGCCGGTTTGTTCTGCGCGATCTGTCGCTTCGGTCGGGCGGTCGACTGATTGGTCAACCCATTTCATTGGGCAATTAATGACTCATTTGCTATTTGACTCAAGTCTTGCAGGGCCCATGTCTCGTCTGTCTGGTTGGTCTGTTGCCCAGGCCAGATCTTCCCTCTTGCAAGGTTTTGAGCGGATTTTGTCGCTGTCTGTGCAGAGTATCCGGCGAGACCTGCTGCCGGGATGGTTCGCGCCTTACTCTTTGGCGGATCTTACCTCTACTGAGTAGGGGACCATATTCGGAGCTTTGATCTATTCTAGGCTTAGAGACTCGGATTCTCATGTTTGGCGTTGAATTATCGGTCAATCGCTTACTCTGGAGGGAAACTTTGTATTCTCAGCCGTTTGTTATCTCTGAGATTTGTGTTGATAGTTATGCTGTGTACAATTGCTATTGTTATTGCCTTCAATTTGATTTACTATAATTGCACCTATTATATGGGAGAGGTCGGAGTCTTCTTTTATTTTTTACATTTTTGTTTTCTAATTGGCTTTGATGACTTGCTGTCTCAACATTGAAGTTTGATCTACTGGATCTTATATTTCAGGGAAATTTGCATACGTAGCACACAATTTTTATGTATTTATATATCTCGCACCTAAATTTTTATGTTTACATACATCACTCTATGTTGCTTTAAACCTATGCATGAAAAAGTGTATTTGACTTTCAAAAAGTGATAGTAGTACTATTTTTGATGTGATATTGAAAATTTGGTTGCTACGTGTGAAAATATGAAAGTTTAGATATGTAAATATGTATTGAGGTGCGACTGAAGTTGTTTTTAGTTCATATTGCTGTGTTATTGTGGTGTAAATCTGTTGGTTCAAATGAATCATCATAATCTTGATGTTTTCTTTGGTAACTATTGTTTTTCTCGTCTGAACATATAACCTTGGATTCTGCCTTAATGATTACATCAATCGTGGCTTATTGAAGCGTTGCATATCTTGGTGGAATTGTCAGTCTGAGTTGGTCCAGAGGAGGCTCAGTTTAAGTGACTCGAGGAACTGCTTAGTTATGTCAACTTTTTTGCTTGTTATCATTTTTGGGCAGATCCCTCATTTTTCATAATACTTATATTGGATCCTTTATCTTTTTAGAATTTAATTGCATTTGCATAATTTATCCTCTTGATAATATGAGGCTTATATGCTTCAAAATAGCCATGCAGAGACTGGACTCAGTGACATTAAACATCGCTGAGACTCGGCTCAATTAATATAGCTTCTAAATTTTCTTAATTCTCATTTAAAATTTCTTTTTGTGTTTCTAACTTTTTTTCTTAGAAGTCATCGATGTGACTAGCAACCGACTATTTGAGCCAGCACACAAGCCGACTAGCCTCGCCTCAATAAGCTTGAACTCAAGCTCATATAAAAAGGAGCTTGAGTTTGAGTCGAGCTCAAACTCACAACTCGGTAAGCTTGACTTGCGAGCCCATCAACCAGACCTGCTCGAACCAGCTTGGATCACCCCCTCTCCGCAACCGTCTTGTTGTCTTCTACCGTCAAAACTTACAATAGTTGCAG